CTCTTGGAAGACTCCCGCCTGCCTGCAGCTGGGGAATCCACTCGGCGGGGAGAATCCGTGCCAGGGAATCCAGCTCTCCGGACTCGGGCTGCAAACAAAAAGCTCGGTTCTTGTTCCCCTCTCCGTCCCACTACGCGCACCCGGAGAGTTTTCTGCAGAGATGCAACAAGTAGCACCCGCCGCTCGCAGAGCGCCCTGCGCCGCCTGACTGGGCTGGACGAAGCAAGCCTGCAGAGACCGGGCCAGACACCGGACAAAGGGCGGAGGAGGGGCTGGACCGCGCAGCGGAGTCCCTAACGAGGCCATTTAGTGACTCTGGCCAGGCCAAGGGGAATGCAGAGGAGACACAGAGCCGGCGGGCCAAGAGGACGATCCAGCAGCTGCACGCAGGGCGGGCGGCAATGGAGGCTGCCCGGCCCGCACCTCCTGTGCACCAACAGGGGGCTCCGCGCCGTGCCCAAGACCAGCTCGCTGCCGAGCCCGCAGGACGTGCTCACCTACAGCCTAGGCGGCAACTTCATAACCAACATCACGGCCTTCGACTTCCACCGCCTGGGGCAGCTCAGACGGCTGGACCTGCAGTACAACCAGATCCGCTCTCTACACCCCAAGACGTTCGAAAAGCTCTCGCGACTGGAGGAGCTCTACCTGGGGAACAACCTCCTGCAGGCGCTCGCCCCGGGCACACTGGCCCCGCTGCGCAAACTGCGCATCCTTTACGCCAACGGGAACGAGATCAGCCGACTCAGTCGAGGCTCCTTCGAGGGCCTGGAGAGTCTGGTCAAGCTGCGGCTGGACGGGAACACCCTGGGGGCGCTGCCGGACGCGGTCTTCGCCCCTTTGGGCAACTTGCTCTACCTACATCTGGAGTCCAACCGGATCCGCTTTCTGGGCAAGAACGCCTTCGCCCAGCTGGGCAAGCTGCGCTTTCTCAACCTCTCTGCCAACGAGCTGCAGCCCTCGCTGCGCCATGCGGCCACCTTCTCCCCGCTGCGCTCCCTCTCCACCCTCATCCTCTCGGCCAACAGCCTGCAGCACCTGGGGCCCCGCGTCTTCCAGCACCTGCCCCGCCTCGGCCTGCTCTCCCTCAGGGGCAACCAGCTCTCGAACCTCGCACCAGAGGCCTTTTGGGGGTTGGGGGCCCTGCGGGAGCTGCGCCTGGAGAGCAATCGGTTGAGCCAGCTGCCCGCGGCGCTGCTGGAACCTCTGCACAGCCTGGAGGCGCTGGACCTGAGCGGCAATGAGCTGTCCGCCCTGCACCCCACTACCTTTGCCCACCTGGGCCGGCTGCGCGAACTCAGCCTACGCGACAACGCGCTCAGCGCCCTCTCGGGGGACATCTTCGCCGCCAGCCCGGCCCTCTACCGGCTGGACCTAGACGGCAATGGCTGGACCTGCGACTGCCGGCTTCGGGGCCTGAAGCGCTGGATGGGCAACTGGCACTCGCAAGGCCGGCTTCTCACCGTCTTTGTGCAGTGCCGCCACCCCCCGGCCCTGCGGGGCAAGTATCTGGATTACCTGGACGACCAGCAACTGCAGAACGGGTCTTGCGCCGATCCCTCTCCCTCGGTTTCCCCGACCGGCGAGGCCAAGCGGCGGCCCTTTCCCACAGCCACGAGGGAGAAGATGGCGCCCCCTGCCGGTGGCCTCGCGAAGGAGCTGCCGCCACAACCGCAGCTGCAGCCACAGCAGCGGGAGAGATTACCGCCCGGGGCGCCCTGGGATGGGGAGCTCTTGGGCAACCGCAGCGCCCTGAGGCTGAGCCCATGGGGTCCAGGCCTCCAG